CTCCACTTCCTACGATTCACGGCCTGCTCCTTGACCACTTCATATCTGCTCACTTTGATCTTTTTCTCTATTTACTCATTATATGTCATTTTCGGTCTTCATCTCTTTCTTTTCCTTTCTCTCCTTTCTCTCGATTATCATTCTCACAAAATCGTCATTACGTAACAACCGTCGAAAACATTTTCCCCTTCTGTTCTCTAATGTATTAAAATGATTTGTTTCTTCCCTAACCCTTTTCAAAACATTTGATATCTTCTCAGTCCATATTATTTTTTCCATTTGACCCCAGCACCACATTTCAAATGACAGACAATCCCTGTCTTTCTTTTAATACAATGACGTGAAAGCTAGTTTTAGCACTGCGGGTGTTAGATAGGTCCCGGGTTCGATTCCCAATAGGAGCAATTTGGGAAACATATTTTCTAAATTATGAGTTCTGGTGTAAGTGCCCCGGAATTGATGTTCTGGTACTCACAGTACATGGTTTCCCTAGTTTAAGAATAGGTGAACGTTACGTAAGTCGAATATTTAAAAAGTTCATTGCCTTATTGATAGGTCACTCACATAGATAAGAATCATTAAGAATTATATCCTAATATCGGTTTTGTACAATCACTGACATTGCTTAATGATATTCGATTACGTTTGTACAATTGTAGTAAATGTTATCAAAGAGGAATGACCGCTGTGATCTTTGAAACGACCTGAATAATTAGAATAACAGATTTTGAACTTGATTTTTATCGTGTTCCTATTTTTCAGCGCATTTAATAGTGTATTCAAAAATTTCAGTAGTAGTAGAGGTCTTTGTGATTTTACAAACTATTTAGTTTGTCTATGAAAGTACTGCCACCCTACCTATTTCTGCCGCCAAGTTCTGTTTTGATGGGTAAGGGAGCTGGTGAACTTACAGGCACACAGGACTTGCCAATTTACGTCCCAGGGTAACGGGCGCAGTGGCAGTGCTCCTCCGATCTTCCTCCTTATTTCTTCCGGCACTAACTGTTTACCACCACGCAACGCAGTGTTATGTTGCGTCGGGGTGAACAATTAAATGTACTGTTTCGGCAAAACGAGTATCATATTACCTGTATAAGTAAATGGATAATTATATAGGATGTAAAGGCGATTAGAAATGGTGGCTCGAAAGCAAAGAAAAAAAAACTAAAATTTCCTCTCTACTAGTTTTCTAAGTAAGCAGTCAATATTACGACCAAAGTTCTCCGTTATGATTTCAAGATTATCGTTTTATATTTGCATACTTTATTTCAACTGGATTTTCGGAATGCAAATTTTTCTCAAATGACGTTAAAATCTCGTTTGTCTATTTAAAAGTAAAATAGCGGAAAAGAATTTGCGCAGAATTAAAATTCAAATTAATGTACAGATAACGTTAATAACTTAAGAGACGTGAAAAGTCAAAAGGTCATATGAAGACGTTATTTCATAGAGTCACCATTGTGAAAACCGCCTTAAGTCGATCAGAAAAGCTATGAGTGAAAAGATGCTGCTATTGCATAGACATTTTTCTGGGCGAGCTCGTTTGATCGTAGACCCTCTTTTTGCTCCAGATCTAGGTAGTGATAAAGAGCAAGTTCATTTACTTAAAAAAAATAGCTTTTTTTTAACTGATGAGATATATAAAACGAACTTCGACTTGGACTAACCAAAATTGGCGAAATAAGTAAGTGCAATACGAACTTTGCCTAAATTGAATTAAGAAATTGCGTAGTAAACTCAAAGTTTCATTTCATTTCTTGCCTAAACATAGGCATAGTTCGTTATGCAAATACGAAAAATTAGAATAGCTCGCCATTTTCGCTTATTAATAGTTAACCTACACAGGCTGCAAATTTGAGACGAGGCCAGCTACCTTAATCGTTGTAGTTACAAGAAAACGGTTCTAGAAGACTATCTATGAATTTGGAAGATATTTTGATTGGCATTCATAGATTTTGAAAAATGGTACAGTCAGCAAGATAAAAGGCAATTTTCACAAAACTTTTTTTATGCCATTCGATTCGATTTGCGATTTCTGACATTTCGAGTACTCTTACGTCAATTGGTCCCATAGAGAATATTACTACCAGAGACCGGATACTGTACATTTTTTCAAAATCTGTGAATGCCAATCAAAATATCTTCAAAATTTAATCTTCTAGAACCCTTTTCTTGTAACTACAACGATTAAGGTGGCTGGCCTTGCTGCCGCGTCTGAAATTTACACCCTGTATATAATCTCACTGCTTGGCCCAGGCCTTCTCCCATAATGGGAGAACTTGATCTGTGATTCCCACGCGGGTCCATTACAGAAGTTCACACACATCATTAAATTGCTTCACAGACCTAGAAGTTTCCTTCCAATGTTTTCCTTTACCTTTTTGGTGGCTCATAGTAAATTACAAATTAAATTTCACACGTGCATTCGGAAGAATTCAGAGGAACCCGAATTCGAACCTCTGCTTGAGGGCCGGTAGGTGAAACTATTAGGCCACGACTTTTAACTTGCCACTTAATTAATAAATGCAAAACTAAAATTATAACAGGCTATTCTCAGAACACTGTGGCAGGCCGGACAAGTAGTAAAACCGATTGAAATTTAATCTGCAATTTAAAAATCTTATAACACAAAAATTTATATGAAAGAAAATGCGGTATTAAAAATATACTATATACATATAGTCCATCCATGACATGTAGGGATACATGCATGGCAAGAGACTACGTATGCATTTGATCTCCATAGCACCTGATGAAACGACGTCATGGTCGAGGATGGAGCTGGCACTTCTAAATAATGCCTACCCACTCTCGCCTAAAAAGACTCATGTTATAGCGTTCAGGGAATAAGTCAGCCGCCAGCAACCAGCCGCTCCATAGTCGTTAGCCATATAACTGTTTAAAGACAATGTTTTGTGTTGTATTAAATATAATTCGTGATATGAGCTATCGCAACTGTTGTTGGGATCTATTTATATCGACCATAGAAATGTAAAACGTGAAAAAAATCAAAACTCTAATGTTTATTAGTTAGTTGTAAGGAAAATTAGAAAGTTTCAGCTTTTCCATAATAATAAATAAAATTACAGTTACGATTTTTAATTTTCTTAAAAAAATTGCTTTAAATCGCTCTACTGTAATATTTTCCAAAAGCATGTTCGACCTTTTACTATTCCAACCGACGTTGACGTTCGACATATGAAGTCAAAATATTAATTAAACATTATATTTTTCTATTTAACAATTTGTATTTACGCTATGCGTTTTAATACAATATTATGCCGCTATCTTAGTTTCCGATAGAAAAGATAAGATTGCCTAAATTGATCAAAATTATAAATATAAACCCGACAGTTCAATAACAAACATTAAAGACTAAGATTTAAAAGTAGAAGCACCTTTTGATTTTCTTAAATATCTTTTTACTAAACAAAAAAAAATGAAATATGTCAAAGAACTGATTGTATTTAATATAGTGTTAATTAAAACAATAAACGGTACGATTCACGACTTAAATTTAGAAGTAAGGCATCCACCATTTGACCCAAGAATTTATGAAGATGCATTGGATCCAGAGCTGTGCGCTGAACAAATGAGATATTTGACTACAAACGGCAATATGTTAATGGTGACATGTAAGTATACTTAAGTGACGACAACCGGAGATTTCGACTCTGGCCACATTGAAACTCCTTGAAGTCGTGACTGGTTGGTGTTCGTAGTCCATTTTTTCATAAAATTATAACGTAAAAACTCAAGATCATTGAGTTGCCCATGCATTACTATTAACCTAATAAAACAAAGTGAAATATTGTTAGTATTATGGGCATCTAATCCAGTATCGTCGATTTCTTCAAATCGGGTTCTATATACTTTTTTATGATTATTAAGTGACGAGGTGAACAAGTTGTTCGCCTGTTGGTAAATCTTACACTTGCAATACCACTCAGAGCTTTCAATCGCAAAGATCCGAGGAATATTGCCACTGTACCCGTCATCCTTCAACATAGAGTTGTGCACATGGGTGTAATTTCATCAGCACCTTTGCCCTTCAAAACCGGAACGCAGAAATCCTCACTGTACTTCTCTGATCGAACTCTTTCGCAAGGAACTCGACTGCTATTGAAATTATACGAAACCGTCAATCAAACTGTTCTTATAATATGTGCAAACGTTCTAATATTGAAAGAGCAAAAACGTTTTTAGAGTTTTCTTTGCTTTTGTTGATTTGTACTTGTTTATGACCACTCAAAATAAATAAGTATTGTTCTTCGTCAAATCAAATTTCTCAACTCCAAATTCATTCAAATTTGCAGTTATTGAAGCTGGTCTGCGATTACCCAGAGGAGTTACACAAGGAAATTTGCTAGATTTGGGAAACTATCATCAGTGTCTTGGCATCAATAAGGAAGTTGAACATATGACTATAAAAGGAAAATACTGTCGAATCAGCGTTGGTTTGAATGAAGAACTTATAAATAGAATAAATTATTCGAATATAAATCTGCTTGACGAAGAAATAAATATAAAACTTGAAATGCTTAAAACACATACGATTAAAAGCACAACCGACAGGGCTCATATAAATGAAATGGAAAGATTACGGTAAGTTTAGTGGTAGTTGTAGTGGCGAGTACCAATAACTTTAGACATCAATGATTGTGTTGAAAGTAGACAATTTTAAACAGGTAACCTATTGGCGCTCAACATGCATTGGGATAACTTTTCCATGAAGTTCACCCATCCTCACAGTGGTCACATGTATATGTTAATTGATGATGATAGTGAAATTAGAAAACACATGTTTCCCCATTTCAATGTGATGAATTTAATCCTGACAATAACAAATCTTATAAAGAAACTTTCAATTGTATTGTTTTACTGCAGTGGAAACCATTCCATATTCAGCCTCACTACACTATGCTTAAAATTTAATTCTCAAAATCGTACATTTCCAGATCAATGGATTCTTTGAACCTGACCGCCATTCAACTTAGTTTGTCTATCTGCATTCCAAAGCCTTGTTCCATAAAAGAAGATATGACTTACCTTGTCAATGAACCATCATTGGTGAAATATAAAGAAGAATTCTGCCGCTTCAAGGGTGATAAACCATGGACTCCTGGTCTGTATGTGGCTGTGTAAGTAATTACTTGAACATCCTTCAACAATAGTATACGAGTATCTTATCGTAAATGGCTGCACTACAATATTTTGTACACGTTGTTATGATAAATAAAGTGCTACAATGAAGTGACATCTTGAAAAGTGTTATTACTAAGCTGACCATTTACCATAGAAAATATGGTGTATTCTAATTCAATGGTATTTTCTTTAAGGCAATGTTTAATGAGTTCAGAAAAACAGACTTTCTTAAAAAAAAAATTTAATATAGTTTTATTCTACTTCAGCGTCATCTTTTCGCTCCTTGGATTATTGACCGTACTTAGTACAAGTTACGATGTTTGGCACACATTTATTTTAAATCGTGGTAAGTATACTTGCTTATATTAATAAATTTAATTTTATTTATGTTAATATTTTTGTTAGTAAATACATTTAGTTGACTAAATATGTTTATTATTTTCGACGAAAGATAGCGAAGTTGCTAACATATTCGTTATTAAATCGAACAAATCGTTGGTTATCAAACTGGCTGCTTTTATTGAGCTTGCTAGTAACATTGTTCAATCGTCTGACCTAATTCTAAATATTTTAATTCCTAATATAATGCATGTAATGAATACAAGAAGACAAATCGATCAGGTCATCACTCTGTATAATAATATAATATAATAAATAATATATAATAATATAATAAATTCTCATTTCAGATCCAAAAGCTTCCAATACGCTGTACCGATCTTTCTCTATATATACAAATGCGCGTCGACTGACCACCTTCACCACCACTTCTGGTGCATTGGACTGCATCGATGGTATTCGGGCAATCACAATGGCATGGGTTGTTATTGGACATACGTTTTTGACTACATCGCCAATCCTCAATGTTTTGGAGTCTATTGATGTAAGTTACCTTTCAATTTTAATTTTTACTTCGATTTTAAGGTTTTTTTTTGTTTTACACCCATTACCTGGCACAATAAATAGCAGAGAAAAGGAAAGGAAATAGGGAAATCTATTCCGGGGCTGTTACACGAAACACCACAACCGATTTTGTTTTCTAAATTTATTCCACTGGCAAATAAATCCTGAATCTCGTTCTAGCGACTAAAGTTGAATCCCAGCGATTGCAAATCTAATTATTTGGATCGCCAAATTATTTGGGTGTTCTAAGTCAGTCAACCAAATAATGATGGATCACGCTAATTAATTATAACTAGTGAAAAATTGAATCAATTACCAAATAATCACAAAACCCTGGAAATGTATCTTATAATAACATTATGTTTCATTTTGTAAAGCGCCTTGTAGATATGTAATTGCAAAATTTTAAATCTTCTTAGCATTAGTTTGTCGGAAGACGTTATTGAATTTATCACAGAAAACCGCACATGTAAAAAATCTAATAAAAAGCGTAATAAAAATAATTGTTTGTTATTTTCCAGTGGGTCCTCAGTTTCCAGTCAATATGGTTAACAGCAGCACCAATAAGCGTGGATACTTTCTTTTTGCTCAGTGGTTTTCTTCTAGTTTACTCTAGCGTTGGAAAATTGAGCAACAGTAAGAGCTGTTTATTTTACTTAGATAATTCCATTTAATCGTACAAAATACAAATTTACTATAATTTTATGAATTATTTGTAAAACGCCGTTTACTTTTTAGAGATATTCTAATGCTGATAGTTAGTTAACATTATATCCATAAATTATAATTAATTTTAGGCATTGACCTTGACGATGAATAATTTTTTTTATTCATTTTCAGTGAAACTATTGAGAAATCTGCATCTATTCTATTTGACCAGAATCCTCCGTCTATTTCCTCTACTTGCATTGATTGTGTTGCTTCAATCGACCGTTTTTCACTACGTCGCCGATGGACCTTCTTGGACAGTAGTGGCAAGGATGACTGAGAACTGCAGGATCAACTGGTGGTCGACATTACTTTATGTCCAGAATTATGTTCATCCGATGGTATGAATTTAAATTATATTAATTTTCTGAAGTTGCCCTTGACCAAAAATGGAATAAATAATACGCTGATACCTCTACCACGTCCACGAGAAATAAAATTAACAACCACATTTTTTTCTTTCAAAGTTTGTAAAATCCATTTTTAGTGTACACGTGGCTCAGTAGCAAACCACGTGCTAAACTCCAAGTTGGGCCACCATAAGTTTTGAAATTCTAAAGATTTTATCTACTTATTGCAACATATCAAAACTATTTATGTATTACAAAAAACACGCTGTGTTTGCAATTTACTTTAGCTTCAGAATCACCGTTGATTTGTACTACATTGAGACATGCAAAAATATATTATGACAGCGTGTTACTTACCATAATAGTGAGTCGTTCTTTGACAATGCGACATACAATATTTAATTTCTTACATTCCAGTGTGTTGAACACAGTTGGTATTTGGCAATTGATATGCAACTTCATATTTTGTCACCAATTGTGTTGTTCTGGGTGCTAACTGGAAATAAAAGCATTGCTTGGTCTGCTCTCATCACAGCTCTATTGGCTTCTCTAATTGCATCAACAATATTTAATTTCTTGCATAATTTTCCTGCTGCCACTTTGGTCCCATCGTAAGTAAATTTAAATTGTTTGACGTTAATAAATCTTTATAAAAGAATCTGTGGATTAAACTTTTGCATGTTGTCCCTGAAGAGAAAAATGAGTCTTCTCCCGGTATATTTGTGTCACAATTGTGAAATTTTACAATGTTAATTTTTTTTTTATTAGAACACTTTTTTATTCGCTAGCAAGTGTTCATTATACGTAACTCATTTATTATTTTCAGGCGTTTAGATGATATACTCAGATACTCAAGGATGTATTACATTAACACATTAACAAGATGTTCTCCATTCTTTGTCGGGATGTTATTTGGATACTTGGTACACATTTGTAGAGAAAAAGGCGTTATACTTAAAAAAGTAAGGATAAAGTTGAAGTAATACTTTTTAACAGTGTCAATTGAAAAACAATAATAATGTCTAGAAAATCGACTAACGAAGAACACTTTGTTCATTGAGTGGGATTGAATGTTTTATTTGCTCTCATAATCGTTTGAGAAGGGAAACAGGAAAAATGTTCAATGAAAATTGAAATGGACTGTGCAAGAAAGCCACGAATTTTTTTTTTAAGAAGTATTGTTTTTATTGGTTTTTATAACTTTACTATTATTATTATAGGCGATTTCGTGGGTTTTCTTAATTTTTATGCCTTACATGACACTTGTCACAACGTCTGTTATTTTTGATCACGAAACTAGACATGCTGATACCGGCATTAAACGTAAAATGTATTCTTTTCAGTATCAAGTTCTAATATTATGGGTTTGCGCCTTAATAGTTCTGTCTTCGGCTTTCTATGCTACTACGCCAGCAAAAAATATGGAATGGGACAATCAGATTGCCGATAATTTTATTAACTCTTTCATGAGACCTTGCTGGGCCGTTGGAGTCGGCTGGTTGATTTTTGCCTGTGCTACGGGCTATGGAGGTACAATTTACTTTTATTAAGGCGATTCTTTAACTGTTTAACCTCCTTATTTTCGATAGTACTAACAGTGGTCTAAGTAGCATTTTGCATATAATACCTATTTAATGGAATATATTTTAAATTTAATTACGGTTTTATTTGATATTACCCATTCCTTTGTACAATAAACGGCACGCTCAGTTTTGGCGTTCCAGATTACAATTCAATTCTATATTTTAATTAGGATCTTTACAATTTTAGTTACAGGTTATTAAAAAAAAACATTGAAATATCTTCCTTAGTAATAAATATGTGATATTTTCAGGTCCAGTCAACTGGTTTCTGTCACTAAGAATGTGGAAATTGCCATCGAGATTATCATACGCTATATATTTATTTCACTATCCGATACAGACGATTATAGCTGCGACGTATACTGAACATGTCTACGTATCGGTCACAAAAATGGTAAGCATTAAACTGGTTAACAAATTATCAGTTTGCAGTAAGCATACGCGTCCCTCATGGTTCAATTTTAGGTCCAATTCTATTTTGCACGTGTGTTAATTAGTTACTTAATTTCGCGTGTAACGTCACATTATTGCATTTAGATGACATTTTCCTGTTATATCAAATTAAAAGTTTTTTATTCGGTTTTTATTCTCACTCCTTCACTGTTCATGCGTTCAGACTTTGGAACGCACTTCCTATTTCTGTTCACGAAAGTACATCGTTAGCTACTTTTAAATTGAGTGTTATTTATTTACTGTCTATCTTTTATAAACGTATTTTATTTGAAATATGTATTTATCTAGTTTGTAATAGTTTAATATTATTAATATTGTATTACATAATTTTGTATTTTGTGCACGTAAACTCGTCATTGTAGTTATTTTGTCCTGTATTAAGGTCTGCAGGAAGAAATTTCTTATAGAAATAAGCTGTACCTTTTGTTTGTTTTTCTTTTATTAAATA